CTTTGCTGTATGACCCTAATCAGTAATGCTAGTGCTCTGTTTTTCAATATCATATTAAGGCAGACTGTTTGGAAAGTTAAAACTCCAGAAAACACGGAGTGGATTTTCTGCATTCACAGAGCATATCTCTTGGTGGCTAACTAATCAAGTGTCCTTGGCTGATGCGTTTAGATGCAGCTGAGGTGGTGATGGTCTGTTGCACCTGCAAGCTTCCCTGAACCTAATCTTCTCAGTGTTTTCCACTGATCCAGCACCTGTTGCCTTAGTGGTACAATGTGTTGTAATATTCTTACAGTAAACTGTACGTAATGCTTCAGAAAGTTTACACCCTTCTGAAGAACAACATTGTCTACTCGGAAGAGTTTACACCTCTCTTTTCTCTAAGACCTTGTTCCTGATGTCTCCTTATTCTTATTAGTGGGCGCTCACATGCCATTTGCAGCCCTTTAGGGTTTTGATTTGTAACAATAGGTAGGAAGAGTGTGAATTAAAGCCACTGGACTTTGACTACTTCTGTGCAATAGATTAGGAGGTTTGAGCTGGCTCCTAGCTTTGCGAAATACCTGGAAGTGAAGATCTTTCAAGAGTTAATACTGTGTGTGTGTTCTGATTTGTAATTAATTTATGTAACTGTACTTGACTGTGACATGTAATATTTAAAGTACCAACATGAACTGTTGTCAAAAAGGATTAATAAACAAACAGAATAAAGGGTAATCTTGGAATGATCTTCCAGCGCAATGGAATAATTGACTTGGGGGGGGGGTTGACGCTAGATCCCTTTGCTCGTTCACCCCTGACCCCAGCAGGATCGGGGAGAGAACATGAAGAGGAAAAGTGAGAAAACTCATGGGTCAAGATAAAGACAGTTTAATAAATGAAGGAAAAAGGAAGAAAAAACTGAATGCATGCGATGCAAAGGTAGTCACTCATGACCTCCCACAAGCAGGCCAGTAGCAATGGCTGCCCCCACTCCATCCCCAAAAACCCTTCTCCTCAGCTTTTATTGCTGAGCATGACATCATATGGCATGGAATATCCCTGCGGGTCAATTTGTGCCAGCCGTGCAGGTTGTGCCCCCACCCAGCTTTTTGCCCACCAGAGGGGCAGAGCAGGAAAAAGAGGCGGCCTTGATGCTGTGCAAGCACTGCGTGGCAATCGCTGGAACGCTGGTGTGTTATCAGCGCTGTTTCAGCCACAAACTCAAAACATGGCACCTTATGGGCTGCTCTAAAGAAAATTATCTCCATCCCAGCCAGACCCAGTACATTGTCAAATGTACACAGAAGCACAAAGGTCACCTTTTCTATCTTACATTTGAGAAGGGTCCCACTAATGACAGTGAGACTGGAAAGGGAAAAATCAGGATATAATCTAGCTTCCAAACTTTTGCTGATGAGCAAGATGGGGAATTCAACTTGTCTCAGACACTAACAGACAGGCCTCAAAATAGTGCAAACAAAGTGTTAAATGCCACGTTAATTACTGAGATGAATGCTCAGTACCTCATTAGTGTGTTTCAGCATAGAACTGTGTTCCATTTTCCTTCTGCATTGACAAGCATTCTTGGACTCGGCAGATAATTTTCTTAATTGGGCTAAGAAATATTTTCTGAAAAGCCTATCCTAATGCTTTGAATATGTTTCAGAATTACTGGCTAGCTCCTGGAAGAGGCAGTGGGCAGACCGCATTAACTATGTCACCCTCTTCTACAGCAGCATTATAACATCATTTGAAAACTTCCAAAATCTTCTGTGGAGCTTTCCACTGAGCAAAGATCAATAAAACACTCTCGGAGAGTGAACTCAGCAGCTCTTACTCTCCAAAAGCCTGGTTCTCCAGGCAAAGGAAAGTTGCTTAGCCACTGCCCCTGGCTCAGTTGTTCTTTAATCCAGTATTAGCAGTCCTGAGAAAAGCTGCTTTTTTTGACTGCATATTTAGGAATCACAAAGCTTTAATTGTACTATTTTGCTCAATTGTTTTATATAAACTCCTAACCTAATGCAAACCCAGAGAATAATGCTTTTATGCTGAAGTACTAACGGCCCCCTCTGGAAGGATGAAACAGATACACATACAATGCTGTTAATTGTAGAATAAAGAAAAAAGTTTCTGTTTTGACTAAGGACAGCATTTTCAACGTGATTAAATTGGTAATAGCTCCTCAAGCTATTCTGCAGTCCTCCTAAGTGTGAGTTGTAAATAAAAGCATAAAAAATGGGAGCAAACCAGTGAAAATCGTATTTGAAATTTGACAACTTGGAAACAATAAAATGTTGCATAAAGACTCACTTGCTGTCATTTCAAACTCGTGCAATATTTATTGAAGGTGCTGAAAGTGCTTTCAGTATTTGACAAGACAAAATACGGATAATGGCTATACAATGTACAGTCCAAAACAGATGCAGAATTCACAGGCTTCAAGTAGAAGAAGAGGAAAGACCGCTGAGGGAACTTGCCACAAAGAAGTGAAGTTTAGGAGAGATTTGAAGAGCTGAAAGTTACTTAAGTAGGGCAAGAACACCTTTTAGAAGGTTGGAGTTCACTTACTACTCCATATAATCTGTAATACTAAAAAACCTCACATGCTACAATTTTTGTAAAAATAATTTAAAAATAAATTCTGTTCCATTTACTCTAATGGGAGCCTGTTGCAAAAAAGTTGCCTGTTGAAAAGTTTAAATTCCTGTTTCATCTGTAGATGCTAATCTAATCTCCACATCGCAGGTGAGGAAGCAGAATTTTGTAAAACTTGTAAACTAGTAGCTTAATGGAGTCATGTGCATTAGATATGATGCATTCATGACTATACAGGCTTCAAGAGTAATTTTTTATTCTGGAGTGTACCAGTGGACAAACTGACCTATTGTATTACCTATCTTTTAGACTTCTTTTGACATAATGGCTATTGCTGGAAGCAGGAGATTGGATTTGTCAGCCTGCGTGCTGACCCAGTTTGGCAGCTTTTTGGTGTTTATATCCACTGCATGGGCACATAGAAAGATTTCAGTCACCCTTTAGAGAATACTCATCTAAAGCTGGCAGGTAGGAAAGTTAGCCCTATAACTGTTTAAAAAAATCCATCCCTCTATAAATAATTGTTTCAGTAATAATCCTTGGTTTTATTCAAAATATCATGATAGGGCAAGTATCTTGTAGCAATTTACAAAGTGGGTAAGACCATTTCACTAGGGTTTACTCTGCTTCTATCTGTTTTGATCAGAGGTGTGCTTTAAAGCTCTTTTAGATGTACTCAAGTGGTATTTGAACCAACCAGGAGCAGGAGAGCGTGCAGCAGAGGCCATGTCAGTCCTAACACTCACTATATATATGGCAACGGAAGCCTAGATTCCTGTCATTTAACTACCTGAGACAGACTTAATTAAGAACTAGTACGTTTGCATGAGCTGGACTTGCATCTTAGCGTGCTCAGGCTACATATTGCTTCAACTGTGTGTCTTTTAATGTATTATTTGTACAATGTCTAGTAATGTATTATTTTTCCTGACATTACCATCCTGCTAGTCAGCTGGTGACACCTGAACCGCCTGATACTGCTTCCTGCAAGTGCTACAGCAGCTCTGACCAAATTTGAAAATTGTTAGAATTAAACAAACCGCATTCTGTAGCTGTATTATAAAAAGCTCGATGCATTTTGAAACCAAAATGCATGTCCGGGCTTTATCTAATGGGAGCTGAAATCCACTCAGGTGTGCTCTTGTCATTTTGGCAAGTAATGCTTTTCCAAAAACCAAAGCATTTTAAACATGTTAAGATCACAAATTATATGTCTTGTTTTCAGCTGAAAGACATAGATTTGTTTTAGGAAGAAGGAGTGGTTTTGAAAACTAAGGGAACAAACACCAGCAGTGCCTGGTGCAGCACATATTCCCCAGTTTCCTATATGGTAAAATTATGTGGTGATTAAAACCCATCCTTTGTTTCCC